AATAATAATAGTAATAATAGTAATAATAATAATAATAATAGTGATAATGATAATGATAATGATGATAATAATAATAATAATAATAATAATTTTATAAAGGAAATGTATATTATGTACGTAAAGTGTGTGCATAGATAGTGCATCAATGTGAATTGATGTGAATATAGCTGTATGTGTCATTTAGTGGATTATGATGGTAAGAGTGCTTTCTTCATGATGAATATGTCTGTGGAAACACCTGTTCCACCCAAAACTAGCTGGAAACCTGGTAAATACCTATTTAAAAACATCCTTCCTAAAATATTTTATATATTTAAGGATAATTTATAAAATTAATATATTAAATTATTATGACGTACTACAATTAAATTAGGTATCTAGAAATATACATATATGTAAATTGTATTTTATTGTAAATTGTTTTGTTACTAGGAAATAATCATTAGAAATATTTATATACATATTAATTTTAAAAGATAATAGAAATAATTAATAAATAAGATTTTTCATATAATCGAATGCAAAATCATAGAAATACCAATAAATATTTTACGAATATAATGTCGCATTGCGTATTTCACCTTTATCCAAATATAGTGGGTTATTAGTTAACAAACATAATCTGGTTATGAACTAGTCATCAATTAATACAGTTCTACAAATCTTGGACACAGTGGTGTTTCTTTTTGTGTTTGTTCTGTGAAGTATTTGTTGTCTGATTTGTTCATAGCCTGAACTGTTTGTTAACCGATTACCTGCTGTATAATATTATAGTAAAATATTACAATAAAGGATTTTCTTTTAAGGTAGGGTTAAAGTAGTCAGAGCATTGTACAAATATACCGCACAACAAGTAAGCCAATTAATTTTCTATACGATGATATTAAAAGTTATTTTTTTTATATCATTAATTATTAGATAAATGATGTTTACACTTCTCATAGGCGGATGAATTATCCTTCGATGAAGGGGACGTACTTTATGTTTATGAGAAAGATGTAGACAGTAATTGGTGGAAAGCTAAATGTGGAAGCCGTGAAGGACTCATACCTGTTAATTATGGTTAGAATTATATTTAATGATGATGCTATTATAATACTTACAAATCATTTATTTTATTTTTTACTTTCATTTTTAGTCGAAGAACAAATGCAAGAGATTTTACTGCCATTACACGAAGCTGCCAGACGAGGAAACATATCATTTTTAAAAGAACATCTGAAACAAGGAGTATCAGGAACTGGTTTAGATGCAGCAGGAAATACCCCATTGTATTGGGCTGCTTCTACAGGTCACATCGATTGCGTTAAAGAATTACTATCTTTACCGAATTCCGCGATCAATGCTCAAGTATATTCAATCTTCAGATCATATTAAATTTTTTAATTACAGCAGTTTATCAAAGTGATTTTTACAATTGATTTCAGAATAAAATGGGAGAAACACCGTTACATATCTCAGCAAGTCATGGACATTTAAACATTGTAAGTTTATTACTTAAAAATGGTGCAAATCCATTTATTAAAAATAATGATAATCTCACTGCCAAAGATTTGTCTTCGGACATGGCGATTAAGAATGCAATACAATTAAATCAATTGCAACCTGATATAAAATGTGGATATACGGATGACGATTATAACGATGGAAGCGATTCAGAATAATTTTGTATTTAAAATTTATAAAGGTTTATAGAAATTTAAACAAAAAATCTAATTAAAATTTTAAATAACGGTTATTTAAATAACAGTACAAGTATCATACAACATTTTCCTATTTTTTCTCTAACATATTGCAAACGATAAACAGTTTGTTGTATATAACACTGTATAAGTATAATAATAATTTATTTTAAAGTAAAATGTTTTTAAATGAAAAAATAATTTGCAATTTTTATTATAACTTTACAGTTTTTTTACTAAACCATCTATTAAAATCTAATCTCAATAATAATTGAGCTAAATGTTCTCCACTTGGTTGCGAACGGACTCGATTTAGTGTTTTTGTCAACCAGTCCATTAAACAATCGAGCGTATCAGAAAGTGTTTTTAATTCTTCTTTCTCTGTAACGAGCAAATTAGCAACTTCCCACGTGGATGCTTGTAGAATGAAATCATCGCAGAGTCTTAATAAAAGGCGTATTAATTTATTTACCTGATAAAAAAAGAATTTTTATTAGATTCATTTGAAGAATAGTGCAATTTATTATAACAAAATATTAATGATAATAATAGATTGGAATATGAAAAGTCTGTTATAGCCAAACCTACTGGATTCTTCCTCTCTTTAATATTGCCTACTAAAAATGTTTGCGACATGACATTAGCCAAAAAAATGGAATGCGCCTTTTGCACGTCTTCAAAATTTTTCGTATTTTTCACATTGCCTTCCATTATGGCATACTGACTTTCTAATACATCCACTTGCAAATAATACTGTAAGTTGTCGACAATGAAAATCAAGTTATTTCGTAATTGAATCACGCCGATGTCGCTACAATTATAAATGATTTTATATAATAAATTATATTAAATATATATATATAATGTATAACAGATAAGTAATTCAATTGTACATACATATTTTTAAATTGCATATGTTCGCTCCATAGATTCCATAAATCTATTTGCGTTTTTTTCACCCTTAATAAAAATCGAAATAACGAATTATAATCGTTCAATGCATTTGGGCTAAATAATAAATGTAACGGCCAAACAATTTTATATTTTAAAATTATCAAGCCCCAACCACGTTTTTCTATAAAAAAGAAAATATTCTAACATTAAATATTTGATTTCTTTTCAACATCAAAAAAAGATTTTGTAATTAGTTATAACAAAGTTATACCAATAGGATCTTCGAGCTCTTTTTCCGAAAAATCATTACATCCGATCAAATCGTCGTCACTATTGGTTTTAATTTCCGGTATTGGTACAGTGAAATTAAAACTATCCATAGTACTCTCATCACTTAGGTGCATTTTTCTTATTGCAATTTGAAAAGCAAGATTAATATCTCTGGATGTATGATTCGTTGGTGGTTTGTTTAGTATATGTGCAGTCAGTCTAATAAATTCTCTAAACAAGTCGCCACGACCCATTAAATAAAAATCTTTCATTGATTTTAGCTGTTGTAAAAGTTGAGCTTCTTCTACAGCAACTTGCCATAAAAGTTCTGTTACGCATTGTTTTAATTCATCGATAGTCCTTTCAAATTCAATGATATTGAAAATTGGTTTGGATTGAAGATTTTGTAGTTTTCTAAAATATTCGTATTCTTTCTCACCCCATATCGAATTATCAGCTTTGGTGACTACACTGAAATCTGGTAAAGGAATTTCCTAATTTTAGTAATTATAGTAACAAATTATTCGACACAGTTCTTGATAATCGAACAATCATTTTATTTACCTTTCTTTTGCCTAGGATCGTTGCCAAACATTATAATAGTTTGTCCTATTGTTAAAATTTTGGTTGCCAACGATAGTCCGATATGAGAAGGAAGCATATCTATCTGAATATCATAATCCCACATGTCCAAGCTATTTTTTTTATGATTACTTTCTTCATAACCATTGGTATTATTTTTTTTATCAGTTGATGATGAACTGTTCTGGCTGTTAGATACTTTTTGAATGAAAAATTCATGATACACATCTTCGAGATGCCCGTATAAAAGCCAGCTTGTTAACTGTTTATAAAAAATTACATGTAGACAATGTATCATCCTAAAAACATAAGAACAAAAGATATAAGACATAAAAAGATTCTAACAGAATCTTGATACTTACTTTTCTAACGCTACTTCGACTTCGGGTATACCAGTGTGCATATGCTGATGCAGACATTGTATTAATTTACAACCATGTAGCTTTTGTGTATTTATCTACAATTATTATAACAAATACATATGAATTTTTGAAGTTGAGATTATAATATTTTATTAATCAAAGTATAAAATAAATAAAATAATTACTTCGCGTATGATGGAGTTCAAGACAGAAAACAAGCATACATGTTTTTGTACTTGACCAAGTATGTACGATACAGGTGTATAGCTGTTAGTTAAAACAGTATTTTCTAATTCTATAATGTCTTGGTGAAAAGGTTCTAAAGCTTGATTCATTCCATCACAAAGGGCTCGTTGATAAAGTCCTTCGATACCTTGTGATTCTGTGTATGTAAAAAGAATATTTAAATTTATAATTTCGTTTGGCCGGAAAAAAATCTTAGACATTCTGTATTTTTCTTTAACACTTATTACATTCAAAATACAAGTCATTATCATATAAATAAATACCAGTTTCATCGGTTTCGCATAAGTTTGTATGCACGTTGATGAACTTTCTAATCGTGTTGCATTGTTTGACAATGTCAATTATTTTTGTTACTAAGGCACGTTCTCCAGGATGGAAATATTTATCTAAATCTACAGACTGAAATAAAAAAGTAAGAACAATTAATATCAATAAATTTGGATTTATAAATTAATGAAATATGGTATTCGTAAGTAATTTAAACTTTTTAAATTTTAATTCTAATTAATTCTCACATCAATCTCGAGCATTTCCATTAAACTGGTCGAACAACCCCATAGGGAAACTAAAATTTCATGTAACATTTTTTAATCGAACTGTTTCCTTCAAATTAATATTTTTTATCACAGACATTTAATAAAGCTTTAAATATAATATTAGTTTCGTAAAAAAACTTATGCGAAAATAACTATACATCGTATACTTTTTTTTTAACATAACATTCTTAAAGATCGGATATGATTTGTTTTGTTATGACAACGATCCTAGTAGTTACATTCTGAACTATTTTAACCCTTCATATTTATAAGCTCATTTATATGAAATGATTCAAATATAATGAAAATATTCAATTATTAATTGTTATATTTTGAATGTTATTGTAATTTTGTCTATATTTTATTTCATTTTAATAAAAAAAATGTGTAAAAAAAGATTGTAAAAAGCTAATAGTTCGATCAATTTATCATTTAGTTTTGCTTTTCACTAGAGCCATCTAGCGTAAGTTTTTAAAAGTATATTGTCAGAGAACAAAATGGCTCCTTTTATGAATTGTAAATTTTGGTACGTGCATATTTCTCCAATATTTTTAATTTATTTTATCAGTTTACTAAATAATAATCATTTTTACAATAATCAAATAAAACTGTTTATATAATTAAGGATTTAGTATGATTGAATTATGTGTATAGTTATTTGATAAAGTTCAAATTTATAAAGGGAAGTATCTTTGCGAAAAATACTAATATAGGATTGTTCAGTAATCATATTGTACTTCTATAATTATTTTTTATAAGTAACATACTAATAATTTATTTTTATTATAAAAATTGAAGAAACAAGAATTAATTGCATTAATCGTTTTAAAGAATAATTAATATAAAATTATTATTATTTATATTAAAAATATATACGATACACTATGAATCTCAAGAATTTGAAACGCTTCCTTTGAAATTTATGATGACTAAATAGGAAGGAATATTGGATAATTTTTTATTATAGTATAAAAGTATATTAATTAAATAATTCAATTAATTGTGGTCGTAATTGTATTCTTTGAATACTAATTAATATTTCAAAATGATATATATTATAAATAAATTAAAACTGTGTTGCATTTGGGAAGGATTAAATGATATTAAAAAAAAGCCATTGTTATATATAGAATAATACTCTTTATTGTTTTTGATAGTTGTGTCGTCGCTGCTGTTGTTGTTTTTGTTGTTGTTCACATATCGTACGTTTTTGCTTTGCCTTTATTCCTTATCTTATTTATCGCTTGCTTTAATTCACCCTTTTCATCATCATCATCATCATCATCATCATTATCATCATCATCATCATCATCATCATTATCATCATCATCATCATCATCATTCGCCATTAGGAATTTGGTAGAACAATGTGTGTAACAAGTTTTTTTAATACTTAACTCGAAAAACATAATAAATGAATGGGTATGAATTGAGGGCAACGCGCATCGGTCGCTCGAAAAGTCCGCGTACATTATTTTTTTTTAATCCTCAGAAATAGTAGTAAAGTAATTGCGACACGTGGTTATTCGTTCATAATTTTATCTTTTTAATCTATCATCGTGTAATTAGAAGAGAAACTTCTATAAAAGCTCGAGTTTATTAATTAAACGTTTAATTCTTTTGAAAGAATAAATAACGCGTTTCCTTTCCACATTTTGTGTTCATTCTTAAACTATTTTTCTTTTTTTTTTTTTTTCTTTTTTCTTTGAATATTGATGCAATTTTTGTTTTCAATTATAATCGAGCGATCGACGTTTTGCCTCGGAAGAAGATACCACGCACCCTTTACAAATTTGTTCGTTCTCTTAGATATTATATCTATGAATTAAAAAGCGAGCGAACGAGCGCGCACGAGGAACGCCATGATTCTTCTCGGATACGGAGTGGAAACGCAAGTTGTGTATAGAAGAAATAAGTACTTATTAGATGATGTGTGCGAAAGGGGGAAGATTGCAATGTTCTTTTGCCAAATTTCATATTTTATATTTACGTTCGAGAGAGTGAGAGAGAGAGAGAGAGAGAGAGAGAGAGAGAGAGAAAAAAAAAGATATAGAGATAAGAAATTGAGAGTGAAAAAAAGTACGATTTTGTCATTTTTCCTTTGATCGCGTGATTATCGAAGAGCAAAAAAAAAAAAAAAGGAGAAAAAAAAAGAAAGACAAATTGGAACGCCATTTTTCAAACTTTCTTTATGATCTTTTTTTTCTTTCTTTTCGTTTCTTCTTTCTCTTTTTCTTCACCTCGAATCTTCACGCATCTTATTCTATCATTATACCCTCTCCTTATTTTCTTTTTATTTTTCTATCATCTTTTTTTCCCCCGTATAGATTTTCTTATATAATATTTCGGAATAAGTATGCCAGAAAAGTATGTTTTTATGAATGAAAAATACGATCGTCTCGCGTGTTCATCGCAATTTTGATCCGATTCTTCTCCTTCTCTTCCTCTTTTTCCTCTCATTCTATTTCTCTCTCTCTCTCTCTCTCTCTCTATCTCTCTCTCTCTTTCTCTTTCTTTCTCTCTGTCTCCTCTTTCTATTTTTCTTCCCTTCTTCCAAATATCTTATTCCATACTCCGTTAAAACGAACGTCATCGTGGCAATTCATCACCTATATGTGTATATGTGTAAGTGTCTCTGCGTGTACGCGTGTATATGTGTGTGTGTATCTTTTTTTTTTTTACCTTTTTTTATGCTTTAATTAATTAACTCTGTCTTTCTCCACATAACCGTCGTCCCTTGTTTTTTTTTTCTTTTTATTCTTCACGCTACTATTTACAATGTACAACACGTTTCTTCTCTATCGAATCTCTTATTTTTTTTTTTCTCCCTATCATAGATTCGCGGCTATAACAGGACTCGCGCGTATTAAAACTATCATTCACGCTGACGTCGAGCGAACGATGATTTTTCATGTATGTGGGTAAGTATATCATGTGAGTGTGTGTATTATGTATGTACGTATGTATGCATGTATATGTACGTTCCATGTTATGTGTTCCATGTATGTATATATTTGAGTGTGTACCATGTATACATAAATATGAGTATGTGTGAATGCATGTATGTATGTATGTATGTATGTATGTATATTATTGAATTTAGTTGACGAAGGAGACATGAGGATCGGCTTTGTAATAAGTTTGTGATCGTATGGGAGTGAGGGTGTTGGTGGGGGTGGCTTGACTCGACTCGACTCGACGCCGTCAGCACCTCGGTGTTTGAAATCCAGATAAAAATGGCTAACTAATTATCGGTTAGGTATCGTAATAGGAACTTAATCGTACATTTCTTGGCGCCATACCCAATATACATATGTGCATCATCGTCTATACATTATTTATATTATACATAGATATTTATTATACTCGTGTCGACTTTTTTTTTTTTTTCTTCTAAATGCAATCGCGACGGAGATCAACGATTTCGTTATCCGCGTTTATATTACCGTTCATCGACACCAACACTTAGACTCCTTGGACGGATCGTCGCGTTTGTCGATCGACGAATTTTTATCTATTTTTTTTTTTTTCTTTTTTCTTTTCCCCCAACTTCGCTCCGATTTATTTCTTCCTCTTGTTTTTTTTTTCTTTCTTTCCCTTTTACTTCTACTGGTTCTTCTTCTTCCTCCTCCTCCTCCTCCTCTACATTTTTTGTTGTTGTATTCTTCGTTAAAAATTAATTACCAAAAAAGAAATTAATAATCCGATATTCGACCTTATCCTCATCCCTCTTTCATCTAATCTTTCTGTGTATTATTTTTCTTCGTCTTCGTAATAAACGCGAAAAACCGAAGTGACGTTCGAAAAGAATTCGCGCGACGCTTAATGCGTTACGAGGATAATGCCTGTAATAAATTTCTTTTACTCTTTTCTCTCTCGCTCTCTCGCTCTCTCGCTCTCTCTCTCTCTCTCTCTCTCTCTCTTTCTCTCAATAAAACGGTAACACGCGAGTCCCCATAGCCGTTAGTTTTTTCCCTATTTGTTTGTTTGTTTCATCATCTTAATCTTTTTGTATCGCTCTTACAAAGGTAAATATATTTATAATTATATATATATATATACACACAAATATATATATTTATATGCATATATATATATT